AGCCGATCAGTCGTGTTTTTCCAGGTCGTTCAATGACTTCAGCGGCTGCGGTTCGCTACCAGGTGCGAGAATCGATCCCAAATCGTCCAGTTTTTTGGTTAGTATTCATCAGTTAGCCTATTGATTTGCTACGCTTTTGTCTTTTCAGCAATTATTGTCGTATCGTTTATTGTTACAGCTGGATTCCGCACCTTTGGATGCTTCATTTTGTTCAACGAGGTCTGAGTTGACCCAGGGACAATGTCGAAATCGAAAACGACTGAGGGTCAGACGTCTGCCTCGCAGTATGAGTGATGGAGAGCAATTGATCCCCAAATCTGGTGAGTTTCATTGTCTGTTCAAAAGCTTCATAATATAAGTCTGACTTCCAGGAGCGTTCACACCTTTGATCCGTCGCTCACCTCCGTCAACGCCTTTAGCCCGATCGACGAGACTGCTTCAGAAGCTTGAGAGGGACCTGATGACAAACCTGGAAAGCGACACCGCACCTGAGCAGTCCGACACGCAGGTCTACGAGTGGGACGATTACAATGTAAGCATTTTTGAACAAATGTTCACAGGGTCCGCAAGCTTAGAACGAAAAATCATTGAAAAGGAAAATTTTTGACTATGTTGGAAAATCGAATAGATGAGAAATTTCGAGGGGTCGGAAGCAAAGAGGTAGTTCAGCTTCCGTTTGGCACGTCTCCTCAGACGGAGGCCGAGCAAAAGCCCAGTTCTCCCCCTGTGCTCATTTGTAAGGGAAGGGAGGAACATCGGACTCGATAGGGAAGATATGTGAAAACATTCGATAGTCTGCGCACAGAAACAATGGCAGTTTGGCCTTTTCCGCCGACGAATGTGTTTTGCCGCTTCTCGTGATGCTCATCTTAACACCAGACTCAGATGTAGGCGAAAGGGTAGGCCTAGGACAGGCTTCGAACCCGTAATTATGCTTTCTTGGTGCTATTGTAGTTCATTACGCTGTCAAGGCTTCTCGCGCCCTCGAGCCTTGCTTGGTATACTTCGTGGTAGTGAGGAGCTATTGAGGCGGTATCTGATGGGCTGTACATAGTAATGAAGTCCTTGATAGGGAGAAGAGGGTGTGCGGAATCTTGATGGTTCGTTTAGTGCGGGGTACATCATCGGGATGGATGAAATCTCGGGGTGTCAGCACAGATCCGGTCCGTCCCCCCCCCCCCCTCTCCCACCGCCTCCCTCAGTTGGGCCTCCTAAGGGGGGTGACTCGGTATATTCTCTCTCACATACCTTTTCGTAATAGTCCACCAGAAACTCTCCAGCGTATAGTGGCCAATGGAAGATGGTGGGCTGGTACCTCTGACAAAGTAACGCTGGAAGTATACAATTTGGCAAGACCATCAATTTCTGGGAGTACCAACCCTTGAAAGGGAAGAGTGCAGCTGGAGGAAAGATCCACTCCCAAGGCGAATACAGACAACCTCCTCTAACAGTGAGACGCCAGGACCCCTGGGACCTCGCACAGCATGGTCCGGCCGAAAGTGATAGAAAGTTTCTGAAAGGCACAATGAAACGAGTTTGAGTCACGCGCAGTTTTTAGAACCTTTTGCCACTATTCAGTTTCCTTTGAGTTCCTTTTTTTTTTCCCTGGAATTACATAGAGGCTGTATGTTGGTCGTCCTGATTGAACTGATAAGTCTTACTGTATGCTGCTTGCAATTTTTAAGTAGCTTCTGGCCTAAACGAGGTTGCTTGATGGATATTTTAGTGCTAAGTTTTACCGACCGCCATTTAATCGGGTTACAGGAAAGCCATTCCGCCATTTTGCCCAAAACTCTAACTGGTTGTTTTTGGCATGTTTTTAAACTTTTCTCTTCGTAATGTTGTGTTAAATGTGTAAATAGTTGTTAGGAAAACATAGAAAAATCGCAAGGAAATCAGAAAAATATGCGCGTACACTCGCACGACTGTACGAGTGGCCGAAAAGGGGCCGGGAGGGACATAAATGCCTCCTGATTGTGTCAAAAAAGACGAGAAGGTTAGGCCAGCAAAGGTTCCATCTAGCAACCTCGTTTGACAGAAGTAAATAAAATTCGACATCATGCCGAGGTTACAACAAGGGACAGTTGTTTTGCGGTTTGTCATGGATGAGTGTGTGGCTTTCAAGAGCTCTCGAGCTATTCTCAGAGCCCAGAGCAGAAGCAGGAAAACATCATGGAATGTTTGGATGTCAGCTGTTAGAAGTTAATGCTGCCAAGCAAACGGCATTGGGCCCATAAAAAATTAGATTTGGCACCTGGCACCACTAGCCCCGTGATATTTCGGGATTGCTCATGTTTCAAATTCGCACATACTCAACGTGTCTTGTGTTTCGCAGACACTGCGCTGAATATCGGGTGTGGCCGGAAACATGTACCCCATAAGATAACAACTGAGTAGAAGCTGGTCGATTCATCAAGTATTCATTGCTTGCTTGTTTTGAGGCGGCTATCTCTGCCCAGTGGTTCGGATCTCGCAATAACCACGAGTCTCTTCGATAATCCTTACTCCCCAATGGTACCCAACAGGGCACGTCGGGGCGCTGGGGAATTTTTCGTGAAGTACAACCCAACATCCTTTCCCAGGTTACCGATCATCCTCCTAAGTTTTCCAGCTTCCTACCATTTCTCCCGAAATTTTCTAATTTTCCAGCTTCTCCCGCAATTTTCCAGCAATGAAACCGGAAAACATCATGGATGTCAGCTGTTAGAA